TATTTTTATTTGAAACAGTCAACAGGTAAAGAGACAAATGTTGAAGACGTTTTTCACACAACAGCCAGGTTTTTTTTTAGGATCGATGGTTAAATTACTACATCTGTAGCCAACATTAACTCTAGAATAGTAGGTTTTGGTGACAGGATATGTACACGCCATAGAGTCAGAGTAARGAGGGACAAACTTGTATGTCGCCTTCTAAAAAAAATAAAAACCAACACGTATCTCTTCTTAAAATAAAACAAATTCTTTCATTTTGGCTTTTTGTTCGTCACAGTTTTGCGTTCAGATCCACATTATTTCTAAAGTTAGAATAAAAGAGCTTAGTAAATCTGGCCAATCAGCTCACTAATTGGCCTAAAGTGGGTTTGGCTTTACAGAAATCTGCTTATTTGTTGCGGCAGCAGAGGCAACAGGTTGAGAAACATCCCAACTATTCTACAGTGCTTCAGAGCGTGTAGTAAAGCTGTTGGCTTCGGTTTGTTCAAGCTATTCATGTTACATAATCCCAACCTCCCCTAATTCAAAACTCCCACTCCCTGCAACCCCCTTTCCAATTTGCACAAAGGACTTCATACACACACACACATTCACACACACGCTATCATTGTGGCGTGGCAGTGGTCCAGGGAGGGGCTCCAGTGTTGCTGGCTTTCAAAGAGCTCTTTACTTGCTGTCCTTCTGATGGCTGCTCCCCGGCTGCAGTGGAGCAGAAATCCAGAGCGTCCAGCTTTGGGACAGTTTACTTTCTGATTCTCCACACTGTTCCTGCAACTGAGAAAGCCAGGTTGATGCAGCCTGCATACAGCAGGCTGTGGGACAGGTTTGTGTGCAACACAACAGGTTGGACAACTCTTTTTCCAGCTCCTTGGCACTGTTGACTTTTTGGTCCAATGAGTGCCCTTAGTTCTTACTGAGCACCGCTGTTTCTTTGAGTCAGCATAGAAAGCAGAAGCAACAAAGAAGTAATGATATTAAATCAAGTGTTGCATGTTTTTCTTTCTGGGAAATGCATAAAAAAGCATCAGTAATTTGAAAGCAGGCTGCTGACTCATCCAAAAAATCAACACTCAAATAAATAATTTTTTTTTTAGTAAATACACATGATTTGGAAAGAGTGTCACTTTATTTGACATGTTGCCAAACCCACTTTGGTTCATTAGGTTTGGAAAAAATCTAATTATGACAGTGGAGTTGCCAGAATTGTGCTCAAATAGAGGCCTTCTGTCAGGATGTTGTACAACAGATAAAAACAACAGCACAAAAAAAACAACACAAAATCAGTTTTTATGCTTTAAGAACACAAGTTTTCCTTTTGTTAAATTTAAAGTTTTGTTAATTTAATTACAGTGAGGATTATGTTGTTTGCATTCACCGATGGATTTGAAGATTTTTCACAAAACAGTTTTATAATCAGTAAAAGGACCTGAGAGCTTTTAACGTGTACTCCTGGGAAGGTACTTTCAGCAGGACTTGCAGAGTTGCAAAATATCTGGTTATACATGTACAAGTTATAGAGTTAGATTAATGTGTTACATTAACTTCAATCCTCTTAGCCCAGTCTGTGCTGCTCACACAAAACAAGTCCTGTTACTCCGGTTTCTCCCTCGCTGCACACACTGCCTGCTCAGGCTGTTGTTGCCAGATCCCGTGACTGAAACAAGGCCAAAACAAGGGACTATTTTTTATTTTTTTCAAAAATAAGCACAAAGTTGCATAAATAGGACTGGCAACTCTGGGGTCTTGATTTCACATTAGAATATCAGTGTGTACTGCAAAGTGTCAAAAACAAAAAGAAAAGAAAACRTTTTTTAGGATGTGAAAGGTGGGATGAAGTTTTATTTATGCACATGGTACAAAAAATTAAAAAGTTRATTTAACTCAACATTTCCTTCTTCCATACAATATGGTCCAAGCAGTGATTTTTGTGGATTATAAAAACGTGTTACACAATTTGTACAGGTGACTTTTTAGGTGAGGGAGAACATCTGGAGTAAAACTTTATCACCCGATTATTGGGSTGCATTTAAAAGTTTCCCAAACCTTTCCATGGAGAATTGTCTCCTCACATTCATAGCAGTTAAGCATTTAGCGACATAATCTGTTTTCTAGTTTTTATTTTTATATCTGACCTTCTTCTCAAAAGTGACAGAAGCACAACAACATAATATTGTGTAACTTGCATTTGCTTACCTTCTAGTTCAACCCTGTAAAGTGTCATTTGTTGATTTTAAAATGTTTATAACATAACTTTAGTTTGGAGTTCTTATCAACTAATTGTTTGACTCAAGTGAGCTTTATTTTTATAGCAGTTGACTAAAATATAAAAAGTATCATTGAATCTAGTGTAAGKTCTCTGTATTTTAATGATATTTTAATAAATACATTTTTATTCAAATAAAAAAATCTAAAACAAGTAATAAAATAGCATTTAAAATAGTGTTTGTTCTAATAGCTGTACGTGTCGTCCTTAAATCATCGATAGATTTTCTTAAAACTTACAAAACACAACAGGTTTTTGTTGCTCTGTGCGTTTGTTGTGTTTCTGCTCTTTGACTTGCTGAGGAATGCAGCATATATGTGTCAGAAWTGTGTGCGTGCAAGAACTCAAAGCTGTGTGTGTTTGTGTAGCATTCCAGACAGTGTTAGAGGTATGTGAATTACGTTTTACAGTGGGAGAATGTGAAGCATCTGCTGTCACAAGAAAGACATTTTTGTTTACTGACACGCTATGGTGAAGAAGGATTTTTTTTGCGTGTGTGTGTGTAGATGTTTTTGTGTGGCTTCCTAGAAACCTGTTATTATTGAAATGCTGGCAACGTTTTTTTTTTTTTTTTTCAAGGCTGTTGTGCATCTCAAATCTGTCAAATGTGTAGTATTAACTTCTGTATTTATTTCAGGCGTTTCAAAAAGAATTTATAAAATAAAATGTTAAACAAAAAATAGATGAGTATTTTAATAGTTTGAACTTTTTGACATAATGCACTCAGTTACACGTATATCTGAAATGAGTTTGTTCATACTTTTAACTCCTCATAATGCTCGATTTTAGTTCATTAAATTGTGGTGTTTTTTTCTGTAAGTCTTGTAATGGAGCTTTAACAGAACAGAACATTGTACAAAAGTTAAAGACTCTGAAAGAAAGATGAGTTTTATAATCGACACACTGCTCAGTAAAATGAAATGTCAAATCAGTTTAGTATAAGCAGTTCCTGTGTGTGTTTTAGCCTGAATATAAGTCCTCTGTCCTCCAGATACACTAAMAGATGTACGTTTATGATGCTCAAATCATCAGTTTGTGTGTGAATCATAAGTGTGCCAGAAACCCTCTTTCTTAGAGCTKGGGTTGGTTTCTTATGACTCAGACTGAATGTTTAATTTCATTCTAAAGAATCACATTTGGGGAATGATCAGATCAGACTGAAAAACTGAATGGGAGAAAAGTGGGAGAAAAAAAAWCCAAATGAGTACCACATTTTTTGAGGTTTAGATGTTTCATAACATTTACCAAATGAACAGCAGTGTAACCAAAATGGATCCCTGAGGAACCCCGGAAATGAGAGGAAATTTTCTCACAGTATTGTTCCCAATAAGCTGTTTTGTTGAAATAACTGCCATGGTAGATGTTTCAGTTCTAATGTGTACTTTTTTTTGTGCCTTTTCCTTTTTTTTTTTTTCCTGAACAGATTTGGGACATGAGTGATGATGATAGCATCTGAATGTCTGAAGCAGTAAGACGTGCGCAGTGCAAGGACTACACTCCGCAGTCAACGATATCTTTTCATATCAACTGAATAATTCCACAAACTGTTTCCTTAACTTTAGACACAAAGTGACCATTAGAGCGGAGCAGTGCTATAATAAAAACAAACTGATGACATAACTGTTAATATTGTGTATGTAAAACTGCTGTTCAGATCATCTGCTGATGTGTAACKTCACTCTAGTTTGAGAAAAAACAACCAAACCATCCACACCTGGTGTGTCAAATTGCATCTCTGAATTTTCAAGTTTTTATACCTCCATCGACTCATGAGACGTTTTTGGCAAGACATTAACATCTGCTTTTTCAGTTAGAAAAGGAGTTTCAGGTAAACTATGGAAATACAAAAACACAGCTGTCCATTCAACAAATYCATCCATCTTCCATGTCTGTTTACTAGAGACTGAAATATACACAGTGCAGCTGATACTAAAACCAGCTTTGGTATTATCCCTGTGAGGAAACCTGCCGACAGATGTTACTGTACAGTTTAATGATGTACAATTACTGCAGACATCCTGAAACCAAATCAAGGAGAGATAGTGKAGTACCTGTTAGTCTTGAGTGGTTTATGTCAGTACACTTATTTTACTTTGCAATGTGTGTGTTTGAACTTGTTTTCTGCATTGTCTACCTTTCAACAACTGGTTGGGTGTTATGCAAGAAACAGACTCAGAATGAAAAAAGGTGAGCTAGGTTTGAATTTGTTGTTTGTTTGTTTTTTCAAGTAATTAAATCAGATTTCAGTTTGATATAATTGATTATTGTTCCAGTTGTATTGTTGAGCTTATAAAATACATCTCTCTCTCTCTCTTTACTGTTTAACATTCCCTCTTTGGATCACTGAATGGAAATTGTGTTTTTGTAGAATTGAGATGTATTCCACACACTTCCTGTTTTGAAGATCGAACCAACATAAATTTAAAAATGGGATCCTAAATGGTGCTTGTTTTCAAAGTATTGCGTTTTAAAAAATCCAGTAATTTTAAATCGTTAATAAAAGAAATTAAAAATATATATACTTTGGTCTCTTCTACATTTTCCTTGATCAATCCCAACTGTGATATGATCTGTGCCAAACGAGGTGTTCCCACAGCCTTCTTTTATTTTAGTGTTTACCTTAAAGACAGACATGAAAACTCATTTGTATATTTTATTTCATTTCACCTTTAAGGTGCTTCTTTCATAAACCTAATATCAAAGCTTTAAAGTAATTGCATAAAAAAACACAATCAGTGGTTTAAAAGCACTTTATTGTTCATCAAGGCTACTTTACGTACAAAAAAGGTGGCCTGCCAAAACCTTTTAAGTAGGAGACACAGAGCCACACATTGTTTCTTGATAGACTATTTCTTTACAGTTCAGAGTATTACTACCACTAAGTACATGCTACTTCCACTTCAAAAAAAATATGACCTGGAAAGTGTGGTGCAGTCAACTCTTTTGATTTGTCAGCTGAATATACAACTCTGTTACTTTGTTACAGGAAACAAACTCAGCAGATTTATGGGCAACATCTTTCAGCTCATGTGCCAGTTTAATCGACACGCTGAAGGACTTAACACACTCACGTCCCACTTTTACAACAAGACCAACAATTTGTATTGCTTACGTGCAGCTGTCCTGTTCCTAACATCAGTTGTTCTGAGTAGAAATGGTTTCATCAATGGAGTTAAGCAAACTGCTCAAGTAAAACTTTTGTTCAAACGTCTCAGGAGTCACATGATCGAACACAAAGACTTGGGGACCAATGGAAGTAGCGATTGTCACCGACACACCTGTGGCTTTTTGTGGTTTCATACATTTACTGTGTTCCTGCACTTGAATCTTTACTCTAACGAGACAAGCTCTACTGACAAGAAAAAAAAAAGATCAACTTTTTTCACAAAAAAGAAAATACAATGATTACAATATAAGGACAGGAAAAAAAACAATTAAATAGCTACATATCATTACCAAATTAATTGTTCCTCAAAAAAAATACCTACAATTTTTTTCTCTGTACATTCGTTACGCACAGCGTAATGATGGTCTTATAGTTACCTATTATAAAAAAGTATTTTTATTAAGTGATTTTCCTACAGTGTGTAGGGAGTGCATGCCGAAGCAAAGAGAGCGCTTCCTACCTACAGGGTGGTAGTGAAATGATAACAAAACAAGAAAGTAAATAGTAATAGGAAATAAAATCCTCTGGACAAATAGCCCCTTTCTCTCGTGGTTTCTAGCATGATGCTAACAACAACAGCTCCCAATCAGGACTAAATAAACATGTGAGAGGGGGTAAACTTTGCTGAGAGACCCTAAACCGACTCATTTTCAGGGAAAAGTTTTGAGAATCACAGCTTGCGCTTACAAAAGCACAGCTTCTGAAGCTCAGCCCCCCCACCTCCACACCACCCCAACCTGCCTGCTAAAACTAACCATCCGCATCATTTGAAACAAAAAAGCATTTGAGGATCACGGAGATCTCTGCAGGCTTGGCCAACCCTTTTCCATTTGTCACACCTGTTTCGATAACTAATGATGGAATGTGTGGATATTTTGAAGAGAAAACACCTTCCATTCATAAAACTCTGTCGGCTTGTCATACTTGCTACAAACGTCTTAAAAGCGAACGCTCATCTGTTAASTTCAGCTCAGTTACATGAAATGATTCTGTACTTCGAATACAGAACGACACACTGGTACAAGCCTAGTTCTTGTTCTCAAAAAAGAAAAAATCTTGAAAATGTTATGGCACTCACTTGTGGTGGTTTTTTTATTATAAAGTATGACCAATCAGCTCTATGAAACAAGTAAAAAAATAACAAAAGTCAGTTAGGGGGAACTATGGGATCAGCAGCCCTGGCTGGCTATCGATGAAACTCTGCTGTTTACGGACAAAGCCTGTGTAAAGTTCCCCACTGGAGGAATGTATACCACCTGGGTGCAGGTTCTTCTACAAACTACAAATGCAAAGTTCTTCAGAAAGGAAATCACTGAAACACAACAGGAAAGTCTGGACAGAGTCAGAACACAAGAAGTCAATGAAAGTTGAGAAAGCTGTAGCCAATTACTTCATTTTGTTTGCTAGCATCGCTATGCTAACTCTACCAATTTCAATGTTCCATCAATTTCTTTTTTGGGTATAATTTAAGACACCATCAACAAGAAGTTTGACACATCATACGCACAACCAAACACAGCCTAGCCTGCAAGACTTCCAAGTAGTGTGGTACGCTTTGTGGGTAAAYGCTGGTAGAAAAATAAGACACAAGCAGGTTATAGGCCACAATGGTGTCTCAGATCACTCACACAGAAGCTTCGAGCATCTTGTACCACTGATGGATCAACATCATATGAAAACTTTGATGAGCTGCAAAACCCAAAAGCCAACTGAATATCCAAACAACCGTCACCCCGCTGTGGGAAATAAGCTATAGTCTCATTGTGCAGGGATAGTTTTGAGAAATGCAGCTCTCATCACTTAACAGAGCCTGTCCGGAGGCTGCTCCACTAAAGATATACACTACTATACTACAATTAATGGAAAACGATAGTACAAAACTGTAATAATAATATCAATAACAAAAACGAGTACAACTGACCCAGCAGTGAGTGTATAGTGTCTACGTCTGTAACTGGCAGCAAAAGAAGTAACAACTAAAGTCTGAATGAAAAGGGTAATAGTAAAGTTTGAAATGCTAAAAACACTAATAGATACCAGCTATTAAATAAAAAACAATATCATGCATCAGTAAAAAGCATTAACTTACCTTTAAAACCTTAAAAGAAAATCGGTCAAACCACAGTGAATAGGAAAGGGCAAAGGAAATAATGGCAGAGTGTTGGCCAAATATAATTACAACACCCGTGTTCAAAGAGTCACAAGCAAAAGTGGATTTGAGGAGATCATTTTCTCCTGGTCGAGAACAAAAAAAAGAACCCCCCCCCCCAACAACCATGGAACCACAAAGTGACGTACAGCATCATCTATCCTCTCATCAGCAGTTGCGCCTGTGAAGCACATCAAAGCACACTGTTGGGCAAAAACATGACCTTTAACCTGTCGCGACGACCAAAAAGGTTAGCCGCTTGTTAACTCAAAGGCAACAAACTCATGTCGACTGCTTGTTTGGTACAAATCGACGCAGCTTTATGAAAAAATAGATTAAGCTTCCAGCGCTGGGCAGCAGACATTAGTTGCGTTAATCTCGACCACTAAAATGTAGACCAATCATWGGTGATTTAATGTTCAGTTTGCCTAAGAAATCTTTTGAACTTGAATAAACAGTAAAAATGACTTCTACCTTTCAGTTTGGAAAGCAACTTCAAATAGATTTTTTTTCTTTTCAACAGTTTCCTTGGCCATGTTTTAATGCTGAAGAATGACTGGTTATCTAATATTTTGTCTAATTATATCCACCCTCTTTATTAGAGAGCTCTTCAGGCACGCTGACATTCTCCACATAGATGCAGGTGGGGCTAAATCACAGATCAGAAACTGAGCTGTGGCCACAGTTTAAAACTACAACACACTAAATTTGACTGTTTATTCTGTTAGCTTTTATTTCTCAGCAGCCTCAATGGAAATGTTGTGATGTAATAAGATTGTTTTAATAAATCAGGTGACCAAACGTACAGTGGATCATGTGTGCTGCCCAACTTCACCATGTTCCATTTTTCACAAAGCCTTTAAGGTCAATAGTACTTCCTACAAATGCAGAATTCAATTACTTAACTTCCAAAAGGTGATAACGAGAGATCAAAAATGTCTTTCGACATGAGATCATTTTGGCTTCTTTCAAAATCAGCTTCTATTAAAAAAAACACACACACATCCAGATCTGAAACACAGGCAGGAGCAAAAGGTGGCGAGAACGATGGGGTGTTTTGGAGGTGAGCATTGATAAACGTCAGTGTCTGAGGTTTCTTTGGTAGCACAGTCAGATGGGTCGTGATTGTTTTTTCAAAGACGTGTTTCTCACTTATCTTTTCGTTTAAAGGCCAGGCATGTCATCAAACAATGGGTACACAAAACTACTGTTAACAAAAACAAACAAACAAAAGAAAGTTAAGAATTAAAACGCTGTCTTTCCTCTCCTTGTTTATGTACATATAACTACAGACACTTGTTCAGCTTCAAGCTGCAGACGCAGGGTTGATGAACGACTGGAAGGTGCGAGCTGATGCTTCAGTCCAGTTTTACTTTTGAATCCTCTTCATCCAGTACTGATTAGTGTTTTAGCAGAGGACAGGAGGGGGGTGGCCATATCTTTATTGCTTGATTGATCCTCTGTGAGTGCACAGTGAAAGAGCAGGTTTTGGCTGTTTTTAGCAGACCAGCAGGCAGGCGTTCCCTCTGGGATGCTGGTGACGAACCAAAGTGGCGGGGCCATGGATGTCGAAGCTGGGATGAACGGATGAGCCGGGGAAAAATAATCCCTCTGCCTTCAAGAGACGACAGAAGGGGAGTGGTTGTGACTGACCATGTGAGTGTCGGGAGAAGAGTTTGGGCTGCTGCCGGCCGACGAGGGACTCCTCTTGTTTTTGATCTGCTGCCAAGTTTCACCCAGTGCCTTGGCAAAGTGGTCGTCCACAGAGCCCGTGATGGACACCGAGTTGGTGGCGGTGGGCTCGGGTTCCTTGTAGTTCTTCCCGAGGCTGCGACGGAAATGTTCCTCAATGACAGGGTCACAAGCTGTGTTGGCTGGAAACAAGGAAGGGAGAATTATCACTCATATAGCAAACCGCAGGTTATTTATTGCCTTATGTTAGGTCAAATTTGATCAATTTTATATCAGTAGAAATATTTACTTCACTATCATTTTAAAACAATAACRTTTCAATATGCACTGCAAACCTTTATGTTTGTAGGATAAATTGGAAGAAAAATCAATGCTGTTTTGCATCCAATACAAGTCCGTTGGTAATCATAAATGTTCATTTGTTTGCAACAGTTGAACCCTAATTGTTTCTTAAACCTATGTTCTGAAAAGAAAATGCCAAACAATACCATACAATTATTGTGTGTCAGTGGCTAATGTTGGACTCACTGTTGATTCTTCTGTAGTTATTGGTGAGGTTGGAGCAGCCGCTGTGGGAGACCGGACACTGAGACAGGTTGCAGTTTCGATTGTTGGCTGCTGCACATGTGATCACAGATGGACGATTCTGAAACACCAGGACACAAATGCTACATTTAATGACCATTCTTAGCATTACCGGTGAGTGGAAGAATAAGATGTTCAGGCGAAAAGTTCCAAGAAAAGTAAACGCAAAACAACAAATCGACTCTGTTTATGTAAAGGTGATAAATCAAAGAAAATAGACCATAAAGATTTAAAACATTATTCACTAGCAGGTCATCAGGGACTATAGCATGAGTCACTTCATCCTTCAGCAGATAAGCACAATGCTGATTCATCTTGAGGAGGACTCAGAGTTAAGGTTTCWCCTAACGTGTGCAGTTTACCTGCTGTCGTTCCATTGTGCTGACTGTGTGTGGCATTGTGACCAGAGATGCTGCACTGCCACGTGCAGTGTCCACCATGCTGTTTTTGGTGAGCGCCAGGGGCTGGTCCATGCCAGCTAAGGCGGCCAGGTGATGGTGGTGGGGGTGGCCGTACAGKGGGCTGCCTTGGACTCCCAAAGTAGTGGGAACCACCATGCGCTCACTGGGGCTTCGACTACGGTCCTTGGTAACAGAGGAGTTGCGATAGTCTCCATTAGGTTTCCTGAGAAAATTAAATCAAAACAGAAAGAATTAAATGCTTGTTTTGCACAGAGTTGATGCAAATTTACACTTTGTACATGGAACTCAATTTCAAACAAAACTATGATCAAAACTGGCACACACTATTCAGACTGGCCATTTGGCACCATTTGATCTCTGAGCCATCAAGGGGACAAGTCTCCTAAATTCATCCAACATGGATGGATTCACACTTATCTCTGCACATGGGGACTAATGGGCACCAAGTTCAAGCTTTGAAGTGGTTTCCTCGGTGCAGAAAATCAACTTWATCTTTTTGGCAAGGCTGCAGCCAGCTGCACTTTCTGCTGTCATATCAAAACATTAAAAACACCCACAGAGCTAGCACAGGCTGAGTTTATCAAAAACACTTGATTAAATCTGTTAACTTACTGTTTACATTTCTCTCCATAAGTTTTAAAACTTTTTTTCCTTATGTTTCTTCATAAGACGGCTCAGACTCATAACTGTGACCTGAGTGATAAAACCAGGCTGGTCACACTTTTACACACAGTATATACAGTAAATGTGTGTTAAGGAGAATTATTTTACCCCTTTGATGAAAGCATACAGTTCTCTCTAAACATTGAGCTCATATCACAACCATTAAAAGAAGATGAGATAAATGATTAGCATTTAAAGTAATAATGTTTTAAACAGAATACAGATCCGGGCTAACTTCCAGCTCTCGTGATAAAAACTTGTGATGTGTTTGATAGGTAGGGTTTTAGCTTGATACTGTGTAAACATGCTTGCAGTTTAGCAGGTAGTGATTACTTCAGAAAGTGCGTCACATGAAGAGTGTGTTCTTTGTTTCTGTGATTGTGTTCCTCTGCTGTTCGCTCCCTTCTGACAGAATGAGGCCCAATTTCAGGGAGCAAATCTTACACTCCTCACTTCCATTTCTACTTTTCTCTCCAGCTCTACAACCACCGAGAAATACTCATCTGCTCACAAATTCAAATGCACACACCATGCACCTTCTTGTATACAGGAGGTCAGTATGCTATAAACACATAATTAAAATTAAGTTCAGGAACAACTTTTAATTTCAAATTTAAATAATTACACTCGGCTAATCAAAGCAGAACACAATTTCTGTTTGTAGTGGTGTTTCCTCACCAATGTGAAGTGTAATTGTGAACACACAGCAGACTTGGTAGTGAAAAAGCAGCATGAAGCCTTTAAAGGTTTGTTTGGATGCTAAACAGCCAGCTCAGGCAAACAGTTGTAGATCCACGTGACCAGGCAACCTGACTGCTTGGGTCAAGCATCTGGATTTCACAGCACCGTCCTCCACAAATAACACACAACACAAAATGGGAGAGAGGAAGAAGGGGGGAGATCGACGCTGCATGCAAATGGTCCAGACCATCAGCTTATGAAAGGTTGGTAGTYCCCTTCGTTTGTGCCTAAACCCCTCCCTCCCCCATGTCTTTTTACACCCTTTGAGTAAAAAAGAAGAAAAATACAATCAGAAGCAAACATCGACTTGGCAGCACTTACATCAAGTCTGCCTTACAGCTTCCCAATGAGCTTGTGTTTTTTTTTTCTTAAATCTCAGTTTTCAGTTTAATTCAATGAAAAACTGTACTTATTTGGTAGTKAACTGCTTTAAAATCTTACAAAGTTATCTTTTTTAACCAAACACAAAGAGTTGTTTTCTCCAGTTCTGAGCTTTAAAGGAACAATAGGAAAAATGATTGTCTTGATTTAAGTTCCAAACTTTGATCATCGCCAAAGAGAAGACATGCCCACCCTCATAGAAAAGTGGGTGAGGGGGTTGTGACAGAAGCCAGCAAAGAGCATCAACAAATCTGTTGAATGAATGGCGTAGCTGTCGAATCAACCACCCTCTCCTCTGATTACCCACTAAACCACATTTCATGTCAGGGTTCAGGCTTTTATAATCCACCCTGTGTCTTTGGCTCCATTACTCACCTCTCARTTATCATTAAGGCCACAGCTGGGGACAGAGAAGGGGCAGAAAAGCGCGGGCTAGACATGAAATGTGACCAAGAGGATGGTAACAAACGGAGTAGGAAGGGTTAGAAAGTCTGGGTCCAGAAAAGAGGATAAGAGCTTTAGATGGGACAGAGGGAAATAACCTTTGAGAATTAAAAAAAATAAAAACAAGAAAAGTGGTCATCACCGTGTCATCAGTAGATGTTAGCACAAAAGAAAAGGATGCTGTGATTGAAAATAACTGTTTTTTCTTACTTTGTGAAAACTGTGCAGATCAGATACAACACTATCTATATATGGACGTGAGATAAACACTCAGGTTTCCCACCAATGTGAGTTTTTACTCCATAGCAGAGCTGTCCATTATAGCAAGAAAATATGTTGTGCTTCCTATGTAAACCGCATGAATGAGAACCAGTTTAAAACTTMACAGCACAAAGAAACAAAAAGCAGATATCTATTTGATTTTGCTTCACGACGTCTTGGTTTTGTGCAGCCTGGCATTAGTGGTAGTCAGTGTGGTTGGGATGTACTTTATGATCCCTTAATTTAAAACTCAGTGAGCCAAAAACCCTCAATGGATAAATGATACAGTAAAATATTATGAACAATATTAAACTACTCAGATCTATCATTAAGTATAGCTTCTTGAGAAACCAGTCAAACACCACCCAGTGTTTAAGCTAACCTCTAGTTTTAAGATTGTGAGCATGTGTTTGAATGACTTTAAAAAGTCGCCATTCCTTTTGTAGATCTGGTTTCAACAATGAAAAATAATAAACAAACGAATGTAAAACATATCAAACAAAAATTGAACATTTGGGTTAGATTTTAGGGCATGTGATTTTGGTGAGACGGCTATATTATTTTGTGGCAAATGCACACAAGCTATAAAAGTTCCAAACTTATTTTCCTCATAACTGCTTTAAAAAGTCTTTAGAAAAATCCACTTTGCAAATATTTGCCTGGGCACAGGTTCATATCCTACTGAAAAAATTCTAAAAGAGGAAGAAGAAAGAGAGGGAAAAGATACACAGGAAACATCTGGAAAGAATTAAAGCTTAGGAAAAAAGGGTTTTAATAAAACAGGAAGATGTAAATGCTCACAACAGTGATAGGTATATTAAGTATACAAACATTTCAACACAGTTTACTCTTGATATCTGGATTTAATAGCCATTCAATAACAGACGTCTCAAGTTAAATAAATTATAGATTACATGTATTTAAAGAAAATAAAACTTGAAGGATCTTGACTAAGATGATGGTAAAGTTTTGATTTTTAATCAGACAGAAATACTGGTAGGAAATTAGGCAGCATTTCCAGGTGATTTCTTTCACTATATTTCATCAGAGCTGTGACAGACTGTGTGTGGAAACAACAATATGCATATAAAAAAACTCTTCCTGCCTTTCCTCACTTGTTTAATACATAAATAGTCTCATGTAAAACAAGAGCATAACAATGACTTCCCCAGCCATGCGGGCACACACACACACACACACACACACACACACACACACACACACACACACACACACNCACACACACACACACACACACACACACACACACACACACACACAGATACTTCCCTTTCTTATTTTCTCCCCATCGGGCCTCTGGAGAAACTTCCATGAGAACAACTTACTGATAGAGTTCCCAGTAAAAAGCAGCTGCATTTTGCTGTAAGTCACCATGTCTGGAATAGTCTTAGAGAGCAATATAATATAAATACAACATAGATTACACACTACTATAGATATTCAGCCCTTGTACAAGACAGATGGAAATTCAGCCCAAACCACCAGACATTCTTACACTGAAAATCTTACATCACATCTGAGCATCACAGTCTGACTTGGCAGTACATTTCATTGGTTATTTACAGAAGACAATAACTAGTGTTCTGCAAGCTACGTAATTTAATTTACCTGATTGCCTTTCCTATAAAACAACAACAACAAACCYCTTCTGTGTCCAATGTAACCTTTGTGCTGCAAAACACATTTCATGCAGCTGTTTTCTACCATCAGAAGTAAATACAGTATCTGATTATTTCTCTGACTTCCATGTTGTAGGCAGAATGAGACAGCTGAGGACTTTTACACTGGCAGGTCTAAAACTGCAGCGTGGTGGGTAGGCAAACAGGCTGCAGCAAGCTTCCAGCCCGCAGGCTCCAGTGGACAGGATAAGGCTTCTTTGTTCAAAACTCCTCCCACTTCTCTGAGAAAATGAGAAAGTAGTCCCTGTTGCCTGACCTCACCCCACACAGAGACACACACACACAGATGATCACAGATGGGGAAGCACACACGCATGTGCGCGCGACAAATGCAACACATGCGCATACCTGCATGAGCACACGCAGACCTAAAACAGACAGAAATCACATCCACATATTAAACTTCCCCTCAAGTCTGTCGATGGTTTAACCAGACCTTTTGTACATGGAAATTCTAAGTGTTGTCAAGCCAAGCTGAACGTTTCAAACTTTGACCGCATGTTTCAACACATCCCTAAGCTATTATCTTTTACCAAAGATTAAAACTGCCTATTAACAAACAACAAATAAATAAATTAAATTAAACCACCCAGGGGTTAGGTCTCCACAGAAAAACTGTCTTTGTAATCATGAAAAACCTCATGTTGCCTCAAACTAAAACAAGCCAACCAACAAATTACAAAAGTCAAATGACTTCAAGGTCATAAATAAAATGAAGATTAAATTAGGGGATTATGGATTATGTCTAGGAAATAATCATGGTACAATGAGCAGCCTGAAAAGCCTTAAACATCACAGACTTTTGTGTCAAGAATACCCCATTTTGATTTCACAAATCATACGTAGAACAGGCTGTGAGACAAAATGAAAGCTGATACGACAATAAGTCCTTTTGTACTTTCACAAGCAGACTTGGAAAACAAAATTAAACTCGTGATTCACAAGTGGGCRCATTTGGTTATGAATGCATGCAGAGTTCAACCGCAGTTTATATATGTACATAAATATATTGAATAGTGACAAACATCAGAAACACAATAATGCACCAAGGAGAAGATGGTTTGAAGGTGGATTTTTTCAGTCTCTTGGTAGATCTCTCACTCTTGACAACATTCATAATCAAAACCAAGAAGGCTTAAGATACACATCTCACAATGCACAACTTAATCCTTATGTGAGGTTTGAAAGTCACAAGATGAAAGGGTAACCCATTTCCTTTGGGCTACTAGAACAGTCTGATTTAACTTAGACCTGCAACAAGTTGACAACAATTCAGAGCAGCTTTGCCAGCAATCAATATGATGGCAAAGTTGTTGAGATAGAATAAAGTGTCGCAGTAGAACTGTTTGCTCACATCACGGACATCAGTTGGAGATAAAGTTCAGAGGGTATAGAACTAGAGCAAATGACACCATGATCATGAGTAATGACATATCTGCACGTTTAGCTATATAAAAACTTTTCCAACAATCATATTCTATTCTTAACCCACATTTCAGCCCATCCAGAGTTTCATCTACCAGGTTTCATTGTGTCACCTCATATTTCGAATTACTTGCGTCTGTAAATCTGGACGTACTGTTGGAAACTAGCAAGCATAGCTCCACCTAACACCTCCTCAACTGTCTGCAATAAATAGCAGCGGCTGGCCTCCTATAAATGACTCAGTTATGACTGACTGGCCCCCTTCCTCTGCAGCCGTTTCCCACCAATCAGCACTTTGGATGCTCTACAATCCCTGGAAGCAGGAATGTGGAGATGTTGCGAGTTATCCTTTGGTTGTGCAGTTCCCGTTTCCAAGCTTTCAAAGATCTGTAGCTATAAGAGGTGTACGAATTTGCAGAGCCAGCCCAACTTGGCACAGCGTCCTGTGGCTCAGAATGGGGCTGAGTTAATCTCCCTGGGCAGCTTCAGGCGTAGCCAACAGAAACATTTGCATGTACAGGCAAAACCCAAACTATTTTAAAAAAGAGGCTACGTTTTAAAAATATGAACTTTATAGATGGTTTTCTGGAACCGAGGCTCTTCACTAACTACAATTTATGAATGATAAAGGCAATAAAAAGAGCAAAAAAGTGATATAAACTTTCAGAAGAACTTTCAATAAAATTTGTATAATCATTGAATGATCTTCAGGTTTTCTGTGAATGTGTGGGCACCTGCTTATTTAAAGTCACAGCGGCGTGTGTCTCGATGTGTACTCACAGTTGTGCGGCAAACAGTCGACTCATCTTCGCCACGTGCTCATTGTCGTCCATGTCGCTGTCTACCTGGTCCCCACTCAGCTTCCTCTTGGTGGGGCTGATGGGAGGAGGACCAGTTCTGTGACTTGAAATGGAAGACGACGATGACGACAATGACGACGAGGAGGAAGATGAGGATAGTGACAGAGACTGGAATCTGGGGTCTCCTCTCAGTGCTGCTTCACCTGCAAATGAAAGACGGGGGGAGAAAAAGCAGAAATGTAAGAATACATGAAAAACACAAAAAACACTAAATGTAATAACTATTGCGAGTCAGAGATCGGGTACATTTTTACCAATGACTGTAATTTTAGCAATTTCCTTGTGATTGAGAATGAACTTGGTGTTGTGCAGTTGTTGTTTCGCAACTTTACACTGGCATCAACATCATAAATAAAAAGAATCATGGTGTTTTTAAATAGTAAGCAGCTGTTAAATTGTCTCGTAGAACTTGATGACTACCTAAACTACTTCATTAAAAAGTTTTTTTTTAAAATATATCCAGGATGTGTTACAGCTCAAACTGAATTTTTGTTGACTAGTCCAGTTTGCTGAGCAAGGCATAACCCTTTTGGCATTAGCAGAGGAGTATCTGGTCAGGAATGTTTTGGGAGAAATAGTTGTGGACGGATTCCACATGCATGTGTGTGGTGTGAATTATTTCTCTCTCTCTCTCTCTGCAGTCTTGTGCTGGCACAGAGGGCCCACTGAGCTGTCAGTGAGTGGGAGTTCAAGCAAAAGAGAATCAGGAAAACTACCACTGGCTCCATCTCAACGCGGGGACTTTCCACTGCTTGGGCCTCATGTATCCCGTCTGACTTTTCCCAAACAAAACAAAAACCACACTAAATTTGACAGCATTTTTTTTCTTTTTACAAAGTTACTCATACTGATGTGTAAATAAATTAAAAAACTGTACTCTTAGTGCTCAATTCTACTTTAATTTCAATCAGTGTTGATTAGATTTTGAACAACTTACAATGCATTTGCGTTGCAGAAATAAATATTACCCCCCAAATTAGTGCAGAGTAGTATTATATTGCTGACTTAATAATTTAAACTAAACATTTATAAAAATTGATGTATATTCTGTCCAACATTAAGATATATGTGAACCTAAAATCTAAATAGTTTATATTGATATGAAGAATCACTGAAAAATTCACAGCATGCACTGAAAAATTAAATTGTCTGTTTCTTGCACAATTCCACATTTACTTAGTTTTTGCATGGCCTCAGAAACATAATAGCTAGTCCTCCTCTCTCTCTTTGGCATGTTCCAGCTTGTCCTACTGTGACCATGGCAACAAGGGTGACATCATTGTTTTTGGCAGGGCAGAAGGGTGGCAATAAAGAAAGAGGACTGTGACACCGCACTGTCCAATCAGCATCCAGGGACACACAACAGCTTATCAGCGAGTGCGGCACTCAACAAAGAGGAAACCTGTGAGAGTTTCCCCTGCAAACAAGAACGACAATTGACTGTAAAGAGTCAAACTCTGCTGACTTAGCTCTAACTCAACACTGAACCCAAACATCATCAAAACTGAAATAAGGTCAGCATATTATTGCAGGACATTTAACGTGCTAAAGCTTATACAGTGCAATTTGTACTGACCGCGACAACATATGGTTCCTCGTTTTTTTTGTTTGCAGTCTGTGTATTAATCTTTGACCGTGCCAAACCTTCAATCCAAAAAAAAAAAAGTTTGGTGATGTTTTTGGTAGTAAAGACATAACAGGCTAACATTTGCACAGAGGGTAAAATAAAATGCAAAAATAGGCAGAAGAACACACTGACACAAGAACAATGCTACAAAAGAGCAAAATTTGTGCAATTTTCTGCAAATTGCAAACAAATCATAGAACCAGGAACAAGAAAGCAAAAATATAAAATCTCACACAACCAAAGGGGAAAAATGTCCATTTTCTTTTATGTAGAAAAAAATTTGCACCCGCTTTAGTCTACGTTTAAGACCTAATTTGTACATCAGGTTGTGCTAAATGTTTGTTTTAAGAGCCCACCAAATGTATATTTTTTTCTGTAAACCAGGAAGACAATCAGTGGAACAAGGGCAGGACCAGAAGTAAAACTCCACTCTTCTTCCTCAGTTCATTAGGTCTACATGATCAAAGCCTCTTTCTCTTGATAGAACTTCAAACAGCTTGGAATCAGGATGAGATTGGATTACAAACTGAGGTGAACCTCTCTCTCTTTCATTTTCATCTTTTTTCCCTCGCACTCTCCTTCCCCCTTTTGGATACTTAAATAAAGATTAGTTCTAACAAGTCCTCTCTCTCTCTGCAAAACAGCAAAGTAGTTATTTTTGGCCTAGATTCTCAGAAACCCGTAGTGCCTCTGGKTTGCTTTTATCCCTATCCATAGAGATTTTAAACTTTAAGTTTTCAAAAGGACACACGAAAAATAATAATAAATCTCCATTGAAGTTATTGATTGTTTGGGCTGAACTTTTAAACCTTGTGTTAGACTTGTTTAACTTCTGACGGAAAGAAAAAAAAAGAAAAACAAAGCAAAGTGCCAGACATTAAGGAGGTTTTAAGTCCTGTTTATTTTTTTCCTAGTCAGCATTACTCTCCTCTTCTCCATGGTAGGCTTACAAATGATGGCAGAAAGCCAGAAACGGATGAACTAACAAACAGAGAGTACTAAAACTTCCTAGAACTGTGTAGTGCATACTTTACCATCGAACCTATCCAAATATCCTTCACTAAAGAATGACAGATTCTCAAATGTCTGAAATAAAGATTTGAAAACAAAACAAAAAAAATGAAACAATGTGAACTTGAATTAAAAATAACCTTGCAGCTAGAAACTATTTAGCAAAGAAAAAAAAGCATTTTATGTAAGGATATACAAACCYCTGAAGAGTTCATAAGAGTTCCACTGTTTTGCTCCACACCACAACATGGCTATTTGCTTTTTACTTTTGTCTTTATGGTTTTAGTACCTGACAGTGCAAAATACGACCGTGTCACTGCCTGTAAGTGRCTGAAATCTGTCATCAAGGATATTGTGGAGTAACATTTATCACTCAACCCAAAAATTGGCACACCCATCAATGTGGGAGTTGTYACGCAAGATTTTGTTTTTCTCCACTCTGAATTGTAACAAATAAAAAGATACAGRGAAGAGCAGACACTGATAGCACTGAAGATAATTGTCACTTATTGTCAATTATATTAACAAGACCCAAGGACTTGGCTGTCCTTATTTAAACTGATTAAAACCTGGAGCATGTCCAATATTGGATAAACTACAGAGCATAAACACCTGAGTCTGATTTAATTTGTTCAATTAAAAAAAACAAGATGAAGTCTAACGCTTTATGCTAAAATTTCTTTGAGCAAGCGATTAAGCATTACATCCCTGTGGGAGTCAGGATAGTGTAAACTATTCAAACGTTTCATTATCACATTGTGACTGAGGTTATTCAAAATCATCAGCATTATTTAGCACTGAATACATCTAACAAGCAGACATATTTTAACAAACCACATATAAAAGCATCTACCTCTTTTAAGAAGTTCATGGCTGAGCATGTGTGAGATAAACAGTGCCATGCTTGTGCTTGCACATGCACATGCGTGTCAACAATTACAACAAAGTGATAGCTTCAGAAGAGGCCTGAGGCAGCAAGGACAGAGCACCGGTATGAGCATGTATGTGTGTTTGCCAGAAAACGCATTTAGGTAGGTGTGCTCATGCACATAATACAAGTCAGGACACTCACAGTATCACAAAGCTTTTCCAATTTTTACTTGCTCAACATGTTTAAGCTCTGGGGGCTTTTCTTTCACGATTCTTTTTTTTTTTCTTTTAATGCTAAGCTCCTTTCCCAATTCTTTTTATCTTTGTTTTCTTATCAAGAGGCATGTGATGAAGTCAGATTTTAGCTCAGTCAGCTAAAAACACTTAGGAAAACTGAAAAATAAACAGACAGATCCAATCTGTCAGGAAATGCATCCAGAGACCAAATGGATTTAGGTTCAACAAAGTGACACCGAGTGGATCCTGAAATATAAATATATACCACTCCTTCTAACTGATGTAATTCACAGAAACAGGCTGAAACCTGGAGAAGATGTAGCTTCATGCTAACACACACACACACACACACACACACACACACACACACACACACACACACACACACACACCTCTGGCTCTGACAGGCAGCCACCCCAGGCTACACCTTCAGTGCAGAGTTCTGCACAGCCTCTAAAATTTTACAAGTGTCCAAACTACTGAGCAAAACTAAACAGGTTGCACGTTTAAACACAGTTTAAACCGTGGACCGTAGTCTCACATGCAGTTTGTCAAATAGGAATTGGAGAAGACTCAAACAAGTTCAAGTAATCCATCAGAACCCAAAAAATAAAAAAAATAAAAATCACCTCTGCTGAGAGAGTTCTTAGTCCCATGGCAAAAGCTGCTACTTTTAACATTTTAATAAAATAATTTCTTTATGTACTTCTTAGCTAAATCATTTTCAGTTGCACAGTTATAATGGGAGTTATTAAAAGCTGATATGTCCAATGAACTGCTAACAGAAGTAAAGCAACAAGCAGAACAGCACAAGTAAGAAAAAGAGTTCATTAGGAGAATATTTCTCCTTTGCACTGAGCTTTGGGGATCTGTTTGAACCAGAAAAAGAAATAAACAAATATTCTACAAATTAGGCAACCCTTAACTATTTACAAAACATACATATGTTCTTATGAGTCACAAAAATGGGGTCAAGWACCCCACTGTGGGTCACAAAACACTAAGCAGGGGGTTCTGTGTTGTTATACTGTTTCTTTAAATTTTGCCTATGTTCATGTAGATCACTCAAGTATGTTTAGGATGCAAAAGTCTCTGCTATTGTTGTTTTAGGGGTCAGGAGATAAAAAAAAAAGTTTAGAAAATATTGATTTATTGAACTGGAGTTTTGTTTTGTTTATAACCATTGTTGCTTGGTTACAAGAGATGTATGACATTTTTAGATAGTTTTAATGTCATTGTTTTATGTTGCATGTTGTAGAATAAGTCAGGGTCAGGACAAAATAAATAATACCCACACAAGCCACGTTTATGTAAATTAACAACAGACAGCAAGTACAGCAAGGTACTGTTACAACTAATAAAAAGTACACAGATTGAGGAGAAAACAGAGAGGTAGTTAAACTACATACAGTATTAATGCCTTAACAACCAATTGGAAAAGTCTTCATCAGAATCAGATGAAACCATAAAAAACAAGAGCTAGAATATGAACAATACAGAGCAGGAGCCGTGAAACTGCTAATAAAGTTAGTCATGTCAAATTAACACACACACACTCAGTAGAATTACATTCTTTGATCTCATAGTTTTGCTTAAGCAATACACAAAAAATGGCATGATGTTCACTCGTGCTGAAAAGGACAAAATATAAATACTAGCTAGCTGCTATGTGTAACCTACTAAGTAACAACTTATTATGTATGTATATACTTATTACTTTAAAACTATTTCATGTACCTAATACACATTTTCTGGGCTGTGTACTTGAAAAATAAGTACTATTGTTAGGCAGAAACTTTCAACTACATCGTTCACTCACGAGCTAAAAAGTCACTTGAAAGTTTTCTTAACAACCACAAACAGTGTCGTTTACCTTCGTAGCAGAGAATACCAATGTTGTTGTTCATCTTGTCCAGGTACTGATAGTTCAACAGGTCCATCTTTGTTAGATGCATTTAACGAGCTTTCATTTAAAAAACAAAAAGACCAGCTTTTCTCTTGTTTCTCCTTTCAACCGACCGTCGAAAAGCTAAAGGCCCAGCCTCCAACTTTACTTTTCTAAAAAACCCTCCGCGGAAAGTGGGGTCTCGCAGATGTTTTAATTAGATCGCGGTACTTTTCTTTTTATCTTTTTTTTTCTATTATTTATGAATAAACCTAAAGCGAACGACAGAGTAAAAACAGGTAAAAGTAGCGTCAGTTCTCCTCACAGCCAGCTGTAAGTCGACTGCACTGACACGCAGGCTATGCTTGGTATGACTCCTATGCTGCTCCAGTGGTTCCACTGCTGCTGAGAGGAGCGTACCGCGCATGCGCCGTAAATCCCTGGAGCGCCTCAAATATCAGGGATGTTTCACGCGCAAGATCAGCCTCTTAAAAACACACTCATACAGCAAGAGGAAAGGACATGCCCCCAAAAGTTGCACATGAACACTTTTCAGATATATTTCAATACAGTTAGAGCTTCTCAAATCACCACTCTGATGTTTTTGCTCATGAGTGTTAAGCATGCCAAAGGTTGTTGTGACACAAAAGTCCCTCCAGCAACAAAAGGTGATAAAAGAAAACGAAAGGTGCTGTAAAAGTATTCGCAAGCACATTTTGCTATCACATAACCTTATCGCAGTTTATCAGAGTCCCTGTAGTTTTATAATGGCAGTAATACAAAGAAAACAAAAACGCTCTAAAAGGTGGAGGATGGGAAATCATAAACTTGTCTGGATTTGAAAACTCTGGTAAGATCAAAACAGCAATATGGACTGGAGAGGGTTTTTTTTTTAAATAAGAAGTTTCTTACAAGTCTTTCTACTTCCTTTTAAATAAAAGGAAATCAAAAGTGTACTATTAAACTAAAAATTTCACATCTATAAATTAATTTATATACTTAATGTGTATATTTGTAAGTGGTATCTGCTATATATATGGTAGGGATCAATTTTACTCCCCTTAAAATTTAGATTGACCCTCTACTGCCCCCTGGCGCCTGAAAAAGGGTTTTACACCAGCTTCGTCAACAGTGAATGGCTGGGGGAAAGGCAAACTGGGTTTTAAAGTTGTCATGAAAACAGCTCAAAAGTCATGGCACATTGTTTCTTATAAAACTATAAAAGTACTTCTTAGTGTTGAACAGGAAGCAGTGAGAAAAGTGAATTTGATGATGAGGTTACACACAAATGTGCATTTATCACAGCCGTAGAATAAAAAGCTCAATATTTCAGCAAGATTTAAAACTTAAAAGAATGCAGATTTTAACTTAAAGACCAAATTTACTCAAAATAAAGAGAAAAGTAAAAACTGTCTCTCTCACTCCTCCATGCGTGTATATGAACATGCTTTACAGACTAATTCCACCCGGATCAGTCTAAAAACCTCCCCCCTTCCTCCTTCCACACATGCACACAAAGGCATCTCCCCTCCTCCCCGCCGGCCTGCCCCTCTCTAATGGGGGGCTCAGAGCTCAGGTCCTTGTCTAATTGGACGACCATTGTTTCCACTTTCAGACAGAGCCGAATTCTGTCAGAGTCTATTTGTTTCTGCTGCTGCTTCTACAGCTGGTGCTGCAGGTTAGCAGGGCACTGGAAAAAACCTCAGGCCCAGAGCTGAACTTTGGTCTGTGCTTCCCAACCAGTGCTCCTTGGTGAAGTAGTGACTAAATGAAAAGGAGTTTTTGCATGCATTTAAAATCTTATTCATAATACGATTATATTAAGACAGTTCACTTTATCCCCATTATCAAAAATGTGTTTTTGAATTTGCAGTTGTGCACAGAGTGGCCTATAAGACCTTAAAATGTTTAAAAACTGATGGATATTTATGATTTTAAAAAAACCTTGTCTAATGTGCATTTAGTCGATATAATAGAGGATGTTTATGTGCTATTTGCTAGTCAGTCTAAGGAATTTTACTGCAAATGCAAACAAAACTATACCTTATAAAAGGAAGTGGAAGAAATTTGTTACAAGCAATAAAAAAAAATCTATGCCACATACAGCAATCCCTTAAAATAACCATTTTCAATTTAAAAAATAACTTTTATTGTGACCGTAGACATGTTTTGGAGAATGCGAACATAATTACTGCTGRTTTTTTACAGGAAATGAAGTCTCCTCAGTGTTTACTCTCTTGTAGTGGCTAAATTCACTTCAACATTTGCTCCAGCCTGATGTAGAATCTGCCTTTAAAGCAAACAGCATAACACCATGTCACTGTTCAGATCTGAGATGTTAAAAAAATTAATGTTTACTAAGAAGATTAATGGTTACACAAGCAGTTGTTGAAATTTTACCTTTTTCTTTCACAAGACGAGGTGTAAAACACAGCTTGGCCCACTGTGACATTAACCCTCTGTCCTCACAGGTTGTATCCACAGGCTGCTGTCTTTAGTCTGTCACAAGAGCTCACTTGATCTAAAAACCTCTAAAGATGTCATTACTAACGCTCATCAACCAAACCTAACTTTTCTATTGGATAACTTTCTGCTACCTTGCTTTGGACTAATGTTAGACGTCTAATAAAGCTGAACTGTGCTGATTACTAATGATACTTAGACTACTGATGAGGACTATTTGACTAAAAGACACCATTCATTTTGTGAGTAACTGGAGTGTCTCAGAGGAATCTTAGTTTGTTAAGCCACTCATTTCTGACTTATGAATCATTTGGACAATAAAAGACTTTTAAACTCTGTTGAAGAACAATTGCTGGGTCCAGTGGTGGGCAGCGCTAATCCAAAATTAGCTCCGCAACTTCTAAAGCGCTAACGAATTATAAAAATTAGTAAGACCGCTAAAGCACAAATGAAATRTTTWGGTCCGCAATTATCAGATTTGTGCTTTAGCGGGCTGGTGCCCACCACTGGCTGTGTCGATACATAACAAACAACTTAGCAAATAACCCAGTTTAAATAGGCTCTCTAGGCATTTTGGTAACAGCAGCCTGTTTTAAAGGAACAATTTCTTCTTATTTCTTGAGTTGAATCTATAAAAAAAAAGGCCAAAAAAATAATAAAAAAAAAACACTTGACCCCAACACTTAGCTAAAAACCATTATTTTCAGTCACTGTTCATTTGGCTGTAGACTGTTTGTTTTAAGATCTGTCACTCCATTTTTTTTGTCTGCTCAATGTGATGTCATGGTCAAGTCCAAGAACTGCCCAAGTCTAAAACAAAACTTTTAAAAGACTTTTAGAAAGCCTGGAGAACTATTGACCGAAAGATTGCAAGAACATTCAGCGTTGTTGTTAACTTTAACGCAGCAAAAAGCAAAATACCCAGAAAAATGAGGCCCAGTTTGAACCTTCCAATGACTTRTTCTCCTCTTCTTAACCTGGGTGAAAATGTGATCTTATTGAGCCACGCTGGAAGAACTGCTCTCATACTGACAGGGGTCAAAGGTCAAATCTCTGMTGACTTTACAACACTAGTGTTGAAATACCAGCACACCAGCCTTGTTTGTATGGTGACATAATAGGTCGAAGACAAATTTGTTGTCTCAGCTCTTCGTATCTGGACAGTTATCAGACTGTGTCTTCTCTACACATCTTGAATTTATGTTGATTAAAAGAAGACTTTCTAAAAACACACTGACAAACCTATATAGCAACTCACATGACTTTACACTGCGAAGTTGTAGTCACTTTTATCCACAAAATGTACCTGATTTAATCCAAATTATTCTAATAAATTAAAACTATTTTTACACAAACATAACCTTGGTTTCTGAGAGTGTTTGGATGAAAGGATTTTCCACACAAAGGAGGAAGTATAGTGTTGCAACAGCAAAACAATGACAACAGGTGACTGTGTGGAAGCAGAGACATTCACTTCCCATCTTTGTGTTCTCCATGTGGGTTTGTCGTTAACAAAAAGGGTTTTGTTTATTATCAAACTTGCTTGTAATGTGAGTCAGTGACTTTACCTATGATGTCACCTGACAAAATAAAAGGTCATTTTAGACTGCATATTCAGATACAAAAATGAAGAATACATACGTATTTCTATTTGTTTTAAAATTATGTAAATGAGCATTTGTTGTTGATCTTGTTGTAGCTGCATCTCTTTWATATAAGCAATTATTGACTTAAAAACATGGCATGTATTGAGTGGCTAATAAAAGCTTTGTGCAAAACTAGAAATATGGTTTCTTTTGTTTAACAAAATACATTAATTGTTTTTTTTTCTTTTCTGTAAGGAATCAACAACCAACAAAATAATTCAAGCGGTCAAAACAAGGATTCTTGTTTGAAAGAAAAAAAAAAAAAATGTTGGAAAATTCATGCCTTTTACTAGAAAAAAATATATATTTTAATTGTTTTATTCTAATGGTGTACACTGACGGTGTCTCAATAATATTAGTTCCGATTTCAAAAAAGTCTTTTGTATCTTCAAATCTTTTCATAATTGAAATAAAATGCTTTTGTTTTACTTTTTTTCTTTGACACACTGCTTGCAAATCTTTCTCTATTGATTTAGGAAAACTCATGTCCAATAATAGTCAGGATAGATAGAATCTGTTTCATTCTCATCATTTCTTTCAAAGCTTTTCTTTCCCAGTTTTTATTACTAGTCAATTTTTTTTCTCAAAAGTTTTGTTTGTGTCCTGAAAAGACAAAGACATTGGCTGAATAACATTGTGCTGAAGCACCTGAACCTCAAAAAAAAAAAAAACTCAATCTGCGTATAGTTGAAACATTTATAGAAAAACACAGATGGGTTAAATTATATTTAGCACATACCATTGACAGTTTTAAAGAGGAAATTACTTTTTTCCCCAAAGCAATACTTCATTTAAAAAGTACTTCAAGTTCTYTAACTTTGTCATTAAGGCTCTTGAGGTTGTTGTGTTTTGTTTCTAATTTAAGAAGGACCAGGCATCACAAACACATCTTTCCACACGAGATCCTATTTCTGGTTATGGAAAATGATTCCTCTTCACATCACATACTCTGACCTATAACAACATTCTTGTCAATTAGATGGAGGCAAACTGACTCCAGGTGACTTATTATTTATTCAAGAAGTCAGTTCCTACAAGGCTAGCATACAGCTAGCATGCTACTCAGATTTTGTATGGGTTACAGAAGATTATTCAGAAACAACCAAAAATTTTCATTTCACCCATTTACAAGCTATTATTCCACAAATAAATACGCCTGTGCCAACCACAATATTTTCTTATGAATGTTTAAAAATAAATCATAAAAAACCTGACATGACAGTAAGCCTGTCTAACTTTATTCCAAACTCTTATGTGCAATAMGTTGTTTACATCTTGTGTATTT